GTTTATTTATATACATAAGATAGCACAATCCGTGCAGGAAACTTTGGCATAGTACCATGTCATTATGAATCATGAATAAAGAGATAATTTCATTATTTAATTTTTTCTTGATAATAAAAATTCATAATGTCCAATGTCCTATATGCCTATCACTTAAATATTTTTTATTCTTATTAAAACATGCGTGTAATACACTTCGTTCATTTCTAGGAAAATTGGTTAAAAATGAAACCGAAAGCCTACGTGTTAAATTTCAGGACTGCAAGTTATCTTCCGTGTCCGCTCAAAACAAATGTTTTGTATTTTTTATTAGTAACTTTCCATCTACTTTAAACTGAACAAAGAGAAGGACAACTTTTAACAAGTGTGTTTTCCTTCAAACGGGAAGTTTTTTTCTCTGCTTTTTGATTTTTACTAAATATAGTGTTATCTATAGCTATCCATCATCAATGAAAGATAGTTAAGGCGTTTTTTTTTGGCAGTAAGTTTTATCAAACAAAAAAATCTTTTTGTCATGTATATCTGCAAATGATCTCAGGAAATTTAAGAACATTTTTGATTTAACGAATTTCAAAGATAATAATGAATTCTGTCATGAAAACCGAGTTTGGTTTTCTCCATAAAACAGAGAAAACAAATATCCTAAATATGTATATATATATTTAAAAGAATTACCTGAGTTTCGACAACTAATGGCAACGGTAGCAAAAGGACTGGCGTCAAAACAATAACGATTGCCATTCATACATTTTGAAATGTCTGTTATGCTCACCACATTTACATAACGAGAGATACACAGTATTGACAGTTTTGCAAGTTACATTGTAAGTCATGATGTAAACCTTTTTGTGTGCCTTTTTATATCTGGGAATGCAAATATTATCCAACAAAGCTTGCAAGAGCGTGATGATCAATAATCCTGTTTAAAAGACCAATCAGATCTGACTATCCTTTAAAAACCTTTGGTCTACGGCAATCCAGATAATTCAGGGTGGATTTCGATTTCCATTTAATTTTTGGATCATAATTATATGTCAATTTTTCAATAAATGCATGGTAAGGAAGCGCACATGGGATTCTTTTGTTTACAAACATATTCATCTATACACTCTGGTGAACAAAATTATAAGCCTAGTATCTTTGATGCGTTTGTTTTAACTCTACGACATTTCGTACTGCTATAATAAGTCCGGATTAATTGTGTGCACGTCTATACTTGGTTATTGAAGGTTGTACTCTGCCATAGGGTTCTCACGACGAGGCGTTCTAAATACCATATCCTTTGTTTTTTTATGAAACACGAGAATAATGTTCATGACTCAAACCGTACCCCTAACAAAAACAAACAATCACCGGAATCGTTGAAATCGGAACAAAAGTTTACACCACCTTACGAGCAGAAGCGATAAGAATCAAAGATGATTGATTGGTGATTGACGTAACGATTTTTCGCCTGTGCCATCAACGAGATATTCCATAAAATTCAATTCAGGAAAACTGTTTCGATAAGATCTTCATATTCACAATATGTAAGATGTGGAAATAAAAAATATTTCAATATTTAAAATTAGTAGGTAGATTTTGAAGGACATACATAAACCTTCTAAATGTGTCCAAAAACTGTACAGCCACAAGTCTTAGCGATCAAGAAAAGTTAGGCAGACGCTAGGGAATACAGGTACAAAAATGGTATAGAACGATGATTGTTACTTGTTATTCATTTCACATTTTAATTTCAACACATGACGATATACTACTAGGCAAGGAATTGTATACGGACTTAACATTTATAGACCTTATTAACCTTCAAAAAATGTTTTAGAACTTCGATGGACTTGACAATTATTTATAGGTTCCTTTTGGTTATATAGCTCTTTACGTGTTTCTGTACTTATATACCCATGACGTTCAAACGTTTGACTTTCATCGTTCCTGATAAATTTAAATCCAGAATATCACTTCGGACGCATAGAATTCATAAAGTGTTTCATTTTATACATCTATAAGCTAACTGGGCTCATGTTTAAACCATGTATTTTGCATAAAAATTTCCAATGAGACACGTTTGAACCATCGTAAACACTTCAATCAAATTGTTTGATGACTTGAATTTCTCTTAAAAAAAATAGTTAAAAACTATAAAAATTTCAAAAATGTTCCTATCTAAACTTTTTTCTATCTCAGCTCTTAACTGATGATTTTTGTTTTCTTAACAATTGACCCACATGGGTAGTCTCAGTAACTGTTTTTTTTTTTTTTTTGGAATGGAGTAAGGTCTATTATCGGCATGGGACACACGATATCTAATTCTTCATAGCGCAAAAAAGTTTGATGAACCTTCATCGCATTTGCCAAATTTCGTAATCCCTCCTTAGAGCTTCATAGCATGACTTTGTTATTCAGTCATTTTAACTCTGAACAGAAATACTTATATCTATTGAATATGTGTTTGAGCTTTTGATTTTTCCATTTGATTAGGGACTTTTCGTTTTGAATTTTCCTCGGAGTTCGGTATTTCTGTTAATTTACTTTTTATCGTTTTCTTTTCAAAGTCGTATTGGCATTAATCGAATCGATGAGGATCATACTGATAGTTCTAATTTTGATTTTTTTATTGCTGATCTTGAGACCACATTAAACTATTTTATTTCTTTTTTGTCTTTCACAATTTTTTGGTGATTGAAAAAAGTTATTATACTTTTCCAGTCGTCTATTAAAGAATCGTTCATCTTGTAATTTTGCGTTGCTGTTTATAAAGATAATTTTTTCGAGTCATTATAAAATAAATACAGCTATTTTTAAAATTCAATATAATTCTATATTTGTTCTTCATACTCTGAAAACGGAAAGCTTGATTTAACCTATATCATATATCTGTATATCTTATGATGTTATCTGCATAAAGACAATAGAAAAGTTTATATATTTTTAATTGGAGGACTGAAGGAAAATATGAGTCATCCTATTCTAAGATTATTAATATGTTTTATTATACAGCGAAAGTTCAAATGCAATTTTGAATGTTTTTTTTTTCTCATTACCTGCCGAGCATTGTGAAACAAAGTAATTACTGATAATTTTTTTTTCATATAAATCATGATATCCCTCATGAACTTGAAATGAAAATGTTGACTCCCTCTATCTGTGCTCAGTAGAAGATTATATCCACCATAAATAAACGAGAAACTCCCACTGCCGATGATAAATAAGAAGTCCCGAATTTCTATTTTTGTATATTTAAAAAGGTTGAAGTACATCCCAGCATCTGTAAAATTTCAAATACGATATGCACAGTATGCTCATTTAATACTATGGCACACCAAACTCAAAAATATGTTGCCTACTTAAGGGTTATAAACGATACATGAAAAAATGTACACCAAACCCTGATGTCATAAAATACATTAAGTTACTAAAAGTTAAAAAGGTTATGTGTACCAAAAAGTTCTTGAGGGACAAGCGATTTTTTTCTGGGGACAAGATAGGCGTTTGAAATTTTGATGTTCAGTTAAAAAGAGTTGAAAAAAATTAGACTTAAACATGTGGAAACAAATATATTCCAGGACTGAATATTACAGGAAAAACATAAGACATGGATTTGTTGGTTATGGGTGTTTGCTGTACTCTGTCATGTTGTCATCATTTTTTTAGGAAATTCATGTTATCCCTTTATGTATTATAGGTAGTTTCATTGATATGGTAAATTTAGAAGAAAATTCGTAAACCTTATAGTTTGATAAAACTATGTTGTGAACTGGTGTAGGGCAAACTGGTCCCATGTTTAAAGGGACCACCAAAAAAAATCCCTATTTTGTCATAGATAATATGACGAAGATGCATTGGAAAATTCATCCTTAACATGTTCTTTCGGAAGTATCTACAACAAAACTTTTTACAAAATTTACTCAGATAAATGTTTAAACAGTATAGTTTAGAAGAAATGTGTGAACTATGTAAAAGATGCAAATTTAAATGCCTTTGCGCATTCATTGTAGGAATCATAGAGCCATTAAAAGGATCAGAGAGAAGAATGGAAGTAATATAAAAACAGGGTAAAACTCAGTTTGAGAATATTATAAATAATAAAAAAAATATCTACACTTTAGACAGGGATAAGGATCAAATAGTAAAAATTAAACTGAAATTAATGTTGTGTCTTCTGGGACACATATTCAGTGTGACAATCTGATTGTCTTTGATTTTAACGTCTAAACAAATCAATATAAAAAATCGGGACTGTCTATGGTATTCTTTAGAGATGATATTATAAGTGCTTAATGTTAACAAAAGTATATGTACAACCAGCTTCTAGATTTTCATGCTACTACAAGTAATTAATCATATTCAATCAATTTGTCTGCCAGGTGAATGTTTAATACATTTATGATACACAGTCCAGCAAAATTTCACTATTTAGAAATTAATGGTTGTATAGTTAGTTGCATTATGAATAGGAGTATTATAAAAACAGAACTGAGTTTTCTATTTCGGAAGATTTGAAAGATTGAAGAATGGAGAGCTCTTATGAACATGCAACAATATACAATGCATCCGTAACAAAGATTATAACATCACCTCTCGTTACCTCTATTTGTCATTAACAAAACTCAATTATGCACCTGAAACGAGACAAAATATTAGAGGAGCACTTGTACTCGTCAATTTATTATACATGTACTACAATGATAGTCATTAGAGTCATTATCATGGAAACAATGTTGAAATATTTTTATTCTGCTACTGTCATATATATTGTTAGACATCTTATGAATATATATACAATTTTGATAATAATAATAATTACAAATGTAAAATATTGACAATATAAAGTTACTATCAAGCTATCGTGACGAGTGCACAAATTAAACATCATCACTCTAAACAAAACTAATGATGGTCAAGTGTTAATTGGTTTATATGTAATACTTCCTTATTGTTACTATATAAATAAATACGATACTGGGATGACTTGTTCCTTCATTATTGTTTATATATCATATTGTATTGTTTAAGTGTTAAAGTTACAATAAAATGGCTGAACTTCAAGAATATGAAGAAGTAAGACCTGTAAGACGAGATGAGATATATGTCTACGATGACATAAAGAATTATAATAAGATGGACAATGTGAGCAGTCCATCGTGGAAACAATATCTAAAAATGTTTATCATGATGATATCAGTTTCTTTGATGAGTGCTGTTGTTACTTATTTTATGGTTAATGGTAAGTCAAAAAAAAAAGCATTTTAATCCTTATGCATGTTTTTCAGGTTTTTACAGATTAAACAAAACCTTACATGGTTTAATCAAAATACGAGGATTCTTTAATATTTTCATATATTTAACGGATATGTTAACCGCATTAAAATTCATTTTTTATTCCAAAAAACTGTTAAGGCATTTTCAAAAAACTTAAAGTGAAAATATGCATATTTTTTGGCATTTTACATTATTTCTATTCAATTAAATACATATTTCACAAAATTTTAATGGCAGTATCTCTGAAAGTATAAATGTAACTGTGACACATATCATTTGATCGATATTTAGAGGTCTTACTGAATATAAAATTTCATCAAAACGTGACCAAGCTTTAAGTTGCTTCTCGTATTATTTTGAATATTTACCCCCAAAAAAAATAGAATGTTGACATTTTGGATTCAACTACGTAATGTTTCGTTACTGATTTAATATTTTGGTTTCTATTTACATTTCATATGAAGGAATTTGAAATTCTTAGTTTAAACAACGAGTAACATTGTCCAAGCTTTATCTGTCCTAATTTATTTTCTTTTTGTTTTATGTATACATTTGAAAATATCAGGGCCGAAGCGCGGTGTAAATAAATGTATCTTAAGTCGCAAGATAAATTGCCTAGTTGGTTAATTAGATAAAAAGAATAATATTAGAGCAAAATAGATAGTACAGGGAGCAAGTCTACGTGTTCTTCGTTCGCAACATAATTGTTTAGAATTCGCCGTTTCAGAATCTAATGCATTCCGGGTAATATTTTCAAAGGCGTACACCAAAACGTTGTGGTTTAAAACATATTAAACAATGGTAATTCAACCAATGACTTAACGTTATTTTCATATTGGTGTGCGAACAATGCTGTTACCCATATTCATCTAGATTCTAAAAAGGCGAATTTAGAACAGTTTTATACCATATGAAATGGTTTATCTCTTAGATACAATTAGCATGTTAAAGAAACTTCTGTATGTCTCGGTCATAAGCAGAATAGACTGAGAATTAAGGACATATAATCGACAATAAGCATTATAAGACATCATTTTGGGTCTTCGTGATTTTTCTATTACAAATGGGATTTAACAAACGACATATGTTAATTCACATTCGAATCTTGTAACATTACTTCAGATTTTATATAAGCATCCAATTTATGAATTGCAGCTATTATAAAGATTACGGAATGAAAGAACGAAAAGCTATAGATCAAACAATATAAATCCCATAAAACACAGAAAACTCCTCGGGAATTCTAGATCTGATTTTATCGCTTCTCTGCAAAATGGGGGATATTACGTAATTTTCATGGCATTGCTTTGCATTTTTTTAAATTTTACTAACCTAAGGTAGTAACTGAAAGGGGGACTGTGTAGGTATATTTTGATGCAAATGAACATTTTTTTTTTCAGAATTGGCCGAAATACCTTCTGATTTTTCATAAGTTTGGTGTAAGTTGACGACTGCCTATGATACTTTAAACAAGCCCATTCATGAGCAGAACAATCATTATTAAAAAAGTCAATGTACAATATTTTGTACTAAATAAATATAACAAAATAATTGGTTATTGATAATTAGTAGGATTGTTATAAAACTAGTCTTTAAAATGGTAGTTTAAAATAAGATTACAAAAATAATTATGATCTACAAAATGTACAACATTTTGCATGGAGCACACCGTCACGTAAACTAAATCAGTCATTAATCTATGAATTGTATATTTTTATGTAGTATCTCTCCGTTCTTTCCTTGTTTTTGAAAGTATTTTTGCAAGGTGCTGAGATTGAAATGGTACTGGCATATGATTTAGATGATTTTTGCAGTAACACTTTTTCCCCTTGTCGAAATAAATTGTTTTTCTTAATTCTAGCTCAGCTGCAGTAGAAATTAGATACGTAGGTATTTTTTTATTTATTTATGTTTTTTTGTGTCAAATCGCAATTATAACAAATTCTGAAAGCTTTTTAGGACAAAATGTCCATAATTATATTTAAACAGTTAAAATTTTCATTTCTCGATCTAATTCTATTACGGAAATGGCTACATTTCTCATAATAATAATGAACATTTCAAAACGAAATGCACTTCATCCTCCACAGAATTGTGACTTAACTTCGAAGTCAGTTGTTTGAGTTTACTCCATTGTACCTACATGTTTCAATGTCTAATGCATGGTCACTAAAACGAAATTTAGACAATAGCCGTTTTTGCTCCATATTACCAGTGATGAGATAATGTTCAAGTTAGAAGTATTGATTTGAATTTTATACATGTTCTAAATTAATTGGAATATGACAGTTGTTATCCATTCATTTGATGTGTTTGAGCTTTGGATTTTGCCATTTGATTAGGGACTTTCCCTTTTAAATTTTCCTCGGAGTTCAATTTTTTTTTTTTGTGATTTTACTTTTTAATTAGTATACATTATAGTTTAATGTTTTCCTTTCATTATTAAATAAATTAAATTTCCAGATTAGATTGGATTTAGAGATAATATTTACTTTTACTTTCCTGATATCATAACTTGCTTTCAAGTTCTCATAGTTTTTATGAAATATTTCAAATTTCAAAACAATTAAGAATTTTCTGAATACAGTCATACCATAAGTCTTGTTTTAACAATGTCATACTTTTAAATATCAGAGTAGAGTCATTTTGATTCAAATTTTTAACCATACGAGACCAATATTTTACAAGAGGATTTAAACTGAATAAGATTTTTTTTTTATTTTTAGCTCAGCTTCAGCAGAAATTGAATTTATATGATAAAAAAATTGCAGATATTGAAAAGGAAAAAATGGATACTGAAAACCGAAACAATATAACGTTTTCTGATTTACAAAAACAGATTAAAGATAGCACAGAACAGGGTAAATATGAATCATTATAAACAGAAAATATAATTCCCCTCCTTCTGTCATTTGCTAAGATATCTATTTTACAGAACTCAGTTTATTATATCTCTACAAAGAAATTGTGAACCTCATCAAAGCAATTCTAATAATATATAATATATTCTAACATGACGTTCTTCAAACGCTTTGAGTACACACCCGTGGTAAAATATGAATATATTGTTTGGGCTGTTCCGATCGTACTCCTGCGTCATATGCTTTTTTATGAATGAGCTACCGGACGTCATAGAACGATGACGTAAGAATATAAGCATTTTACGGGAAAATACGCGCTTGTGAAACCGAAAATCATCACTACAAGGAAACGTAAACAAACGATGTTAAAATGTGTTATATAAGCCATGTTTTGTATGCATATATAAGACATATAAGTACAATTATCATTTAGATTCATCCAAACCTATCTAAATATGTTATTGTAAATAGTTTAAGCATGTCATTTATTCAGTTTGCTCTGGTCTTTTACGTCAATTTAATAGTGCGTTTATTCATGGGAACGGCAAATAATGCCTTCATCTAGAGCGCTTCGATCCAAAACAATTGCCGTATTTGTCCTATTAGAATCGAAATAATTCATGGGGGCTTGAATATATCGTGATTTTACCACGGGTTGTCCCTTTATGCCGATATTTTACCCCTCGCTATCGCTCAGGGTAAAATATTTGTCATAAAGGGCCAACCCGTGGTAAAATCACGATATATTCAAGACCCCATGAATTATTTCTTAATTAAGTGAAAATGCACTGTAAAGCGATTACCAGTGTGACCCTTGCTTCGAATTTGGCTTATTTTCACTTTAAACTGTGCACATTAAATGGTAGGAAATATACAGATGGAACGAAATATAAGTGAAAATTGCAAGATTGGTCAATTTTGCAACTAATTTTTTTAATTTTAATGCATGGAACATAAGAAATGCTAATTAAAGGGTCCGGTTCAGTTAAACCCGGTTTTGTCAAGGAGTATATTATTATTATCATTCATTCACGCTTATTCAATTTTATTTATCCAGAAACAAATTGTTGTTCTGTTTATATACTCCACCCTAAATATTAATTAAAATAGTTTGCGTAGAAATCAACAGCAATATGAAGAGGACAATTAAAATTTCTGCGAACCTGCATTTTACTACATTATAGATATTATTCAACGACCACAAATTATTCGTACAAAACATGGCTTTATACGGGCAGTGACAATATGACGTCAAAGTGTTTACTGTCAAAAACATCGCCGCGGTGGTCTCGTGGTTGCGTATGGAAGACCATTCGTATTTGATACCCAGTCTGATTAAACGACGGCTTAAAATTTGAGGCTTCCCTTTTCATAGTTAGTCGCATTTATAAGTAAATGCAAAGACTTGTAAAAATCCGTCTCAGCGTGTCAGTCAAGCAAAAAGCAAGGTTTACGTTCAAATCGCATTAACTGGTTCTCCTCCCCCTCCTCGTCCCTTTGAATGCGCACACAAATTCATTAAAAAATGGAGAAAATATGCATGCCAGATTTACCAAGAAAATGATTCTTTATAAAGGGTAATTCAATCTCACCATTATGCAATGATTATAGTACATTGATAATTGTTTTTCTCCATGAGGCGCTAGTCAAGCTCTTGTCATGTCTCTAGTTGGGGTCATTGTTCCATTGATTTGTATCCCGCATTGTCTTTTGAGCACATAATACTAAAACTCATGAAAGTGTATAATTACTTTAAAGTTTGCTATAAATAATGTATTTACCCTTGGATCAATCAATATTTACAAACGAATTATATGGCAGAGAACTAGGAGGATCGCAAACTATCTCTATTAACAGAATTCAAAATCAGAGATTTAGTTACTGGAATCGTCAATATGCGCTTAACCTGAGGTAAAAGACGCAGAGAAGTAGATATTACCGACAAAAATGTCAGTGCATGCTACATGCACAAATCCAATAAAGCAACAAAAAAAGTCAAATCCCACAAGTCGATATATAAAATTGAGAATGGAAATGGGATATGTAGATTTAACGAGAAGAATATGTTTTGTGTCCCGTGTACATTTACAAATCGTTATGAAAATATCAAGATATGAAGACGTCATATGATATGATACGACCGGTAGTGTTCAAAAAAAATGTTTTGTTCCTATTCTAGCGGTATCGACGCTGTAACAATAACAGTGTGTTTCAATAGTTTTTTCACATTCATCTTGCAAATAAAAAATGACACCACCAAGATTGTAAACTGTTCTTACAAGATGATAACTTTAACATGTTTAATTTGAGATAAAATAGCACGTTAATACATGTGGTGCATCCGGAGCGCTTTCCCGTATTTACCTTCACCAGAAATACTTAAATCTAAAAGTTTGAAATCCAAGAATATGAAATATACTTGTTGAGTACGCGAGGAGCATCATACACTCAAATAATGCCAAATTAAACTGTAATCAATTTGCCTGCGACAGTGGGAGTATCAACATTGCAGGAAAATAAAACCAACACTTTAAAAGATTTGGTCCAATAAACATAGAAAAAGTAAAAGAAAAATCTATACACTTTAAAAAAAATGCCTGTGTTTACACCATGAAATTTTCTCTGAGTACAGACAAAACTGTGTAATTTTAAAAGTTTTAATGCCTGGCAGCACCTAGATAAATTAATGTTACATCCAATTTATGTTCTAAAAAGTTAAAACACTTTATGGATTTTGATGAACATTTTCTTTCCTTGCCACAGAAGATGGTGAAATAAACAAACACCTAAGTCTTCTTTGATACAGTCCACTCATTTACACTATTTAAATCACCTTTGTTGTGAGTAGATTTCTATTGTCCATATCAATCAATATGATAATACAATCATTACCTGAGGGGGACCATCTCAAAGATTTCACATGACTTTGTTTATTTTTACACCACCTGTGGCAAGAAAAGAAAATGTTTAGCAAAATCCACAAAAGTTTTTTCTTTTTAAAACACAAAATGAATACAACTTGTATATATCTAGGTGCTGCCAGGATTTTAAACTATTAGAATTACACAGGTTTGCCTGCATTCAGAGAAAATTTCAGGGTGTAAACACAGCCATTTTTGTGGAAGTGTATAGATGAACCTGAAAAAGACGATTACTTGTTACTGAACCAGATGAGTTAAGTTGAACACATTTTAATACTAACAATCTCAACTGTTATTTGTTGTACATATTCAATTATCAATGTAAATAATAAATCGATTGATACGTTTACTTCTTGTGTGTTGCAGTGGTGACAGCGGTGTGGATGGAGCGCCAATCGGGCCACTAGCGTTTATTGTGACTGATTCACGTGGTAACAAGTTTGACAATAACAGAATATTTGAACAGCCGCCTGACCTTAAAATAGAATATTGTATTGTCCGTGGAGCCACAGTAAATGAATTAAAGGACGTTTTCATACAAAGACTGAATAGTGTGGACACAAATAGATGTCTCCCAATAATCGTAATAATTGCAGTTGGGATAAACGACTTCACAAAATTTATTAAAAATAAAAACAGGGAACGTGAGCTAGTATATTCAGGTGCTAAAGGTCTTGAAATATACGAGAAGATATTAGAATTTAAAGCAGCTGTTAAAGAGAAATTACCAAATGCTTTAGTCGGTTTTATAACGGTGCCACCAATAAGTTTTAAGAAATATAAGGAACACTGTTTTGAGAATAAGAAGTTGACAGTTTCCAAGATATCGGACGATGATCTGCTGAAGTTTCAAAAGGATTTAGAAAAGGAGTTTGAACTGTTAAATGAAAAAATATTTTTTGGAAATTGTGAAAAACAATCGGGACATTTAAAAGGCTGTCGTACAATTTCTTGGCACAGATCAGTTTGCAGGCTTGGAAAAGTAAAACGAGGTAAAAAGTATCAAAAAGTATATAAAAACGATTTTCGGGAATTGTATGACGGAATACATGGTACGTCGGATATTAAACTCCAAATTCCATCCTGCAAAACACAGTACAGAAAAGAATCCTATTTTCCAAGAACTATTACCGACTGGAACAAACTACCGGACAACATTGTAAATTGCACTTCAGTAGACTCTTTCAAATCTTCAATTTCAAAGCATCAATATTAACTCAACTATTACATCATACTTAATTATACAAAGCATTTTTTTTATTTTTCGTATTTTTTAAAGATTGTATATATATCAATCTCTGTCTTGTTGTAAGTTTCCTCCTGTGACATAATCTTCAATTTGTTGAAGGCGGTCACTATATGGTAGAAGTAGAAGTAAACAAAAGTGGTTTTCACAGTTAATTATAGCTATCAGAGCTGAAATTGGTTATACAAAAGCGGAGGCTGCACAATCGTCAGATGATATACTAGCTGGTAGCTCGGTTGCAGAACATTCACAGTTAGAGGATAGTGATAAGGAAGGCTCCTGGGATTTTAAGAGAGGACAATTAATGTAAAACTGTAAATGCTATATTGTATCCTTTTGGTAATAAGTTTTTTATGTTTCAATTAAGGTATTAAGAAATAACTGTTGTTTTCTTGATACATTTTGAGCAGCAGGTGGTAGCTCATACATTGTAGTCAAGTTTTGCTTGAATGGTAACTGGTATATATATATATATTTATATAAAAAGAATTTCAATATAAATATATTTGAACCATAATTTATTTTATATTTTTCTAAAGACAAACTTAACCTAGATATTTTTTTGAAGTATTATAAAAATGGCGGAGAACGGAGACGCAGGTCAGCAGGGCGCAAAACTAAAAGACCAGTTGTTATGCCAGATGTCTTTACTGGTGAAGAAGAATGGACAGATTGGCTATTTCAGTTTGAAAGCTGCTCATCATTGAACGACTGGGATGATGACTTAAAATGTAAATTCATTATAGTTAGATTGAAAGGAACTGCAGGTAAGGTTTTAAGCGATCTGGATGATGACACTAAGAAAGATTGGACTAAATTAAAGGCAGAACTAACTGCAAGGTTTGACACAACTATAAGGC